AACACATCATGATGTGCGAGTCCTGCATTTACAATGCAGCTCTTGCATGTGGAAACAGCACGGCATCAACCTGAGACTCTTACCCTATTGACCATGACTTGTCACTTTTGCCAATTCTACCTTCCACGCACACCAACACCTATTGCCAGTCTGCAATCTGACCATTTACGTTTTCTCACCTGCATCGATCCTCAACACTTACCACCCACAACTTCAGCACCACTACCTGAGAAATATTCTCACCTGCATCTTGCCACTGAATCTCATCACCATCATCTACTTTTAAACCATTTAAAAAAAAACTCTATACATCACCGAGAATCCTGCGTATTCACTACAATTGCTGGTCAGAATTTCGAATATTTCTTTATGTTTCGACTTGTGTACCAATTCTTGGCCATGGACAATAGCCATGCACTCAGGATGAGCTATCATAGTTTGCCTTGGATCAACTCAGTCAGAGTAATGAAGCGGCAGGTACCTACACTCATAATAGATTGGTTCAACCAGGGAGTCGTAATATACCGGGAGGCGACACGCCACACATTTCACGATCCGAGGATTGCTGCACTCGACCCGCGAAATTTGATGCGTGATTGAAACGTCGTCGTCATCTTCTTTTTCTCAATTGTTTTTGCTATGCTTCGAGACCTATTCTGGATCTCCAGAGCGAAAGCTGGTTGTTTCTGATACGAACTACGAATTACCTTAGGTTGAGCCGAGGCTTTTAATTTTTTTTGGGAAGTTCACTGCTTTGGAGACGAGGGAATGTCAAGGTAAGTTAGTCACGAAATGTACTCAAATTTGAATTGAGTAAGTGCGAATGACACCCTGTTTTCGGAATAGTTCTACACTAAACACACCATGCCCATGGCCCCTTCATGTTGTCCAAGTTCCATTCTCGGTTTGTGTGAAGTTTCGAGATGAAGATCGATGATGCACTCACCTTTTCATGGAAGGGAAAAAATGTAGCATATCAAACAGAATCTATGCAGCATTTGATGCCACTATCCTCATTCTTCTGCATTCAAAGTGTTTCACATTATGGTCCATGAACTACACACAATATTTGTCATTTCTTAACTGTTCATAGCTGTTCATACTTGAAGTAACTGTGTTCTGAACACATTGCCTTCAGGAAACGTAAGGCCGAGTCGCCTGACCGACTTAGCAAAGTTCTCTGCGACGAAAGTCACACTATCGGCAAATGCACTCAAGGCGAATACCCGTAAATACCCTGTATACTGCTTGATCCACTTATCACAGAAGCATACACACACACGCACGCACACACACACCATGCATACGCCCGTCGCAAGAGAAGAACGCTAGTCTGCAAATGCACTGGATGTGCACCCACAGATTTTCTCTTATAGCAACGATAGCGAACAAGATCTGAATGAGAGAGATCAGGACTTGCATCAGATAACTGTATAATCCACACAACTGGCAAAGCCATGTGAATCGACCACCAATGCACAACACACATACACCTTTGGACCTTTGGATGCCCATTGCTCCGTGCAATGATAGTGTTAGGACTGGTACAGTCACACTTAAACGATCGGAGCAAGTCGACACGACAAGGAATCTCAAAGGTTCGGGATAGGATAAGGTAAGAAAGACCAAGCAAGGCGAGCACGACAAGGCTAGACAGGGCTAGAAGGGGGAGAGCAAATGCTCCAGCAAGAGCTTATCTAGGGCCTGGGTAGCTAAAGCGCGAGTCCAGCTACCCAGGCCAAAGAAAGAAAAGATTAGGAAAAGCAACCAGGGTGAGTACGAGGCTGTGAAGGTGAGTACGTCGAGTGAATGTGAGTGCGCGCCCTAAGGCTGTCATCACACCATGGTACAAAGCGCTGCGTCTACGTCCACGTAAGGAGGTTTTGGTCGGTTGCCATGATGATCCATATACGGACTGAAAACGGGAGGAGAGGAAACGGGAAACGTAGACGTGGTAGGAGAGGGGGGGTATACCTGGTTTTTGTACTAAAACGGATGAACGGGCGTAGCTTTCCCTGTCTTTTTCAAAGCAACCTTGTACGTGCGTTTGCATTTTCAAATTATTTCTCCAACGATTCCGCCATGCCTCTCCGAGTGTTCTCTGATGAACAAGAAGCCCATTTCATCCAAGTGTGGCATGATGTGTTGTCAGCTGCACAAGGGCAGATGCTAACTCTATTGGACAAACATCGCCAGGCAGCAGCCAAGATGACGGCATTTTCTGTGCAGAGAGGGTTGCCGGAAGTCACTGTTGACCAGTGCAAGAACAAGCTGGACAATATGAAGAAAAAGGCCAAGCAAGCCTACGCCAAGGTCCGGATTCTCCAGCAATCTGGAAACGCTGTAGTAGATCCCGGAGATCTTGAGGTAATTTCACGATGTTTCTCTCGCCAATCAATATTGCTTTTTCACCAGCAGGAGGAATGATGTTGATATTGTAATAGAGTTTGCCCCTCCTTGTTATCATTAGTTGTTGTGTCTTGTTCCCACGGGCCACGGCGGGTGTTTCATTGGAAATGCATTATGTAAAAATCCCTTGTTTCAGTTATTTCGGTGTGTGTGATCTTGTGCTTGGTATGTGTTTGCACACTCGACCACAAAGCACTGTAGTTTTCCTTCTAGATAGAGGAGAGGAAGAAAGAGAGAACCCTACTTGTCTCTAATTTCTTGAAGTTTGAGGCTTCACAGGGCCGAAAAAGTCCATGCGTAGCCAAATGTGGACCAGAAGAGTGCCCTGGGTTCAACCGTTAGAATACCCAGGCGGGACCGGGAAAGGACAAGGGAAGCCAAAAGGGGGACCGAGTGCATATGTTGCCAAATGTGCACCTGAAATGAGTGCATATGTGGTACAACCAGAACCTGAAATGGGCATGGGTAGCCATTTGGGTGATGCATTCTCTGCAAGGGGTGATAGAATGCTTTCATTTGGGGCACGCATTCTGTGTAAATGTATTATAACGCATTGGGTAACATATTTCTCTTTTCTACTTCTTCTTTTTCATGTTTGTATCCAGGCTGCCGTGGGAAAGTGGGCCAATTTTGCGGTTTGGAACCAGCTATTCCTTACAAACCCCAACCTAGGAGCTGGAGGGATGTCCTTGGACACTGTATCCTCCGATGATGATACCATTGTTCTCGGCACCCAGACGCAGTACACGGCGGCATCAGGTGCATCTATGCCTCCCCGACCCTTGACCGCGTCAAGTCCATCAATGCCTCCGCGAACATTGCCCGCACCAAGTGCATCTATGCCTCCCCAAACCTTGACCGCGTCAAGTACATCTATGCCTCCGCGAACATTGCCCGGGCCAAGTGCATCAAGGGTGGCCCGGTCATCAGTGGCAAGCAGCACATCGTCAGCAGGTGTTTCCTCGCCAGTACCAGGCAGTGCACAGTCATCAAGGTCTGCGCGCCTAGGTCGGTCCATGTCGGACCACCTAGACGACTCTGCACCTTTGCTGACAGCACCACGCGCGACCACCAGCAGGTCAACCGATACCACTGAAGTGGACGATGAATATGCCTCATATTTAGATGAAGCATATCCAGAAGTTAGTGAGACGCAAGCCGACTTTGGCCAAGCTGACTTGACTCAACTAGACTTACCTGTACCTGAAGCGTTGCGGCACCCGGCGCCAAACCCGATAACTGATACCAGTCGTGCACCAACTCCTGTTGTGGCTCCACAGGTGGAAGCGCTGGCCCAGAAGGAAGGGGACGTGGGCAGAGGAGCCAGGAGAAGGAGGGCTCAGACGGATTATGTGTCATCTGTAACAGATGTACAAGTTCGACTGACAGAAATCGAGCAGAACACCAGGCTGCGAGAACTGGAGTTTGAAGAGCGGCGGGTTCGTGAGCAGCGCCAGTGGCAACATGATCTTGAACAACGAAGGCAAGACTGGGAAGAGGAGAGGGAGCGACGGCGTGAACGCCATGAGCTAAGAATGGAGCGAGAAAGGAACGAGAGGGAGACCGAGAGGATGGAGAGAGAATCTCGCTTACGACGCCAGGAAATGGAATTTCAATACAATTTGTTTCACAGTGATCAAAACAACTAGTTTTTGTTTTGTTTGTTTTTTAATTCTAAGGATCCGGCCTGACCTCTAAGTCCATTGTGCTTTTGTATTATATTTCATATTTCATTGTTTGTTTCTTTGTTCCGTTTCCCTAAAATGCAGTCTGCTGTTTTGGTATTCTTCAAACGCATATTAATTGTGCAATATTTATTTCCGTGAATGTAGGCAAGATGAGGAAATTTACGTTCTCGACTGTCACAAAGCAAGAAAATCAATACTTCCCACCATCATGAAGTATGAATGTCCGTTCTTATGCCAGAAATGGTGAGGGTGTGTAGATGACAACTAGGAAAAATACCATTGATATAAAAGATGCAAACTAGGTCAGTGCTCAATTGTATTCAATGGTTGGTCTGTGCAACATAAGATGTAACGGCGAGGACTATTTACTGTGAAAGCTACTAAGTTCTTACTTTTGTTGCAGGATTTTTTTCTGATACGAAACTCGCACAAAGAAGTGTAAAAAACAAGGTAAAAAACAGAAAATAATAAGGCACCCATTTTGATAGTCCAGGGGATGGCCCACGCCTGGTAAAAAGAATAAACAGAAAAAGAAAAAAAGAAAAATAATAAGGCACCCATTTTGATAGTCCAGGGGATGGCCCACGCCTGGTAAAAAGAATAAACAGAAGAAGAAAAATAATAAGGCACCCATTTTGATAGTCCAGGGGATGGCCCACGCCTGGTAAAAAGAATAAACAGAAAAAGAAAAAAAAGAAAAATAATAAGGCACCCATTTTGATAGTCCAGGGGATGGCCCACGCCTGGTAAAAAGAATAAACAGAAAAAGAAAAAAAAGAAAAATAATAAGGCACCCATTTTGATAGTCCAGGGGATGGCCCACGCCTGGTAAAAAAGAAGAAGAAAAAAGGGAAAGCAGAAAGCAGAAGAGGTCTTGAATATTTAGAGTTGCCGATCTAACACCTAGCGCAGCATGTGGATGTACGTTGTCAGCGCCTTCCGAACAACTTCAGCACTTCCTCCTGCTCCATTGTTGGCGTCCGCTGCCTGTTCACCATCTCCCGTGTACTCAGCACGATCTGGCAACCAAGAATCGAAGAACTCAACATTGCCACGAGTGCACATATTGTGCAAAGCACTGCACAGCAAAGCTACGCGGGCAGCAAACTCTGGGTCCCTCACAAAGCTTCTTGTTAGGACAGCAAAACGACCCTTAAGTCTACCAAATGCTTGCTCGACCACCTTGCGACCTTTGTTGACAGCAGAGTTGAAGGTGGCTTGCTGTCCAGGCTGGGGTGGGTGCTTATACGCCTTGACAACGTGTTCCGAAGCTCCAAATGCAGAGTCTGCCAGTAAATAGGGCTTGATACGGTGGCCAGAAATCAGTTTCGTTGTGGATTGCAACCACGATCGAGTCTGTAACTTCCTTTTCAAACTGCTGTTATTGAAGGTATACGCATCGCCGAGCGAGCCTGCTCGGCCAACATCCACATACGTGAATATGCCATCGGCATCCACGACAGCAAGAATAATAATTGCGGGATACGACTTGTAGCACCAGTATGAGTCCCCCCATACTGATGGCTTTATTATTTTCATAAACGTGCCGTCAATGGCGCCAGCGCACATTGGTAGCTTGCAGATGCGCTTGAAGCCGCTAATGACCCGCTTCAGATCTTCTCCTTTCGGAAAAACAATTGACTTCTTGCCAAGGTGGACAGCCAACGTGTCTACACCGTCGTGCAGAATCCCATGCACAGTCGACTGTCCCACGCCAAAGAGATTCGCAAGCTCGTCCTGCGTGGTAGCGTGAGCCAGCCAATACAATAACATGGCAAGCCTCTTCTCCGAGCTCACGGCGCAACGGAATGCAGTATCCGACTTCTCCCAGAGAGCATGTGTGTCGGTGTAAATTGCATCAAACAGAGGTTTGCTGACACGGAATGTTTTAACATACTGCCTATCCAAGTAGTCCTCTGCGTCATCCTGCTTCCCTGCCTTCTGCAACGCTTGCATGACTTCCAGCCATCGTCCCTTCACCCTTTTCTCAAAGAATCCTGGGCATCCGACATTGGTGGACCAGAATCGTCGGTTGGCAGTTACGTTGTCCACTATTTTGGGATGCAGGAGCTCCCAAAGAAGGTTTCTGGCACGAGAACGGCGACGGCGGCGGCGAACTGAAATTAACTTAGGAATTTCCCAGGCCACAGATTCACTTTCTCTTGGCCAAAAGGCTTCAGCGAGGGAGCTTGCCCTGAATGCAGGGGTACGAATTTTGAATTTCAACTTTGCCAACATCCACTTCCTCCTGTCAACACCCATTCTGAATTCAAAGAAGTGGCATACTGCATCAAAACACAAGGTAATAAATCAGAACACTTGTGCTGGGCGATGCTCAAACTCAAAGAAAAGACCTGGAGGTATTTTCTACAAGAAAAATATCCTTATTTGCACTTGTTTTCTTGCAACAAGGAGACTCCCTATATGGGCTCTTGCTACTACTTTTGCACTAACTCAAAGAAAAGAGCTGGAGGTATTTTCCAAAATATCCTCATTTGCACTTGTTTTGTTGCAACAAGGAGACTCCATACATGGGCTCTTCCTACTACTTTTGCACTCTTCCGCAAAACGTGACCAAGTATACGCGGCGAGAAATGCGCCTGTGTGATGACACGACCACCCGTTTTGGATTTTGAACGTAGACGTAGACGTGAACGGGAGTCGGAAAACGTAGTGTGATGACGGCCTAAAAGGTGAGTTCGCGCCTGTAAAGGTGAGTACGAGAGTAAAGGTAAGTCCGCGCCTGAAAAGGTGAGTACGAGAGTGGAAGTGAGTGCGCGCCCGAAAAGGTGAGTACGAGAGTGAAAGTGAGTGCGCGCCCGGAAAGGTGAGTTCGCGCCTGTAAAGGTGAGTACGAGAGTGAAAGTGAGTGCGCGCCTGTAAAGGTGAGTACGAGAGTGAAAGTGAGTGCGCGCCCGAAAAGGTGAGACGAGAGTAAAAGTGAGTGCGCGCCTGTAAAGGTGAGTTCGAGGGTGCGAGTGCGTACGAGTGTGCGAGTGCGTGCATATGTGAAATCGTGAACCTAACAATAGCATCAGGAGTTGCAGTATTTCCTGTGGCGAGTGAGATCATTGGGCCGACGGAAGTCCCTGCCACAGCCGCAAATGAACACTCTACAGTCCATTCAGAAAAAAATGAACTTCTAGCTTTTGGCCATAAATGGGTCAAACGTTGAGTTTTTTTAGAATTTTTTTCTGCAATCCCATATGGAATCCTCTTCCAATTATGTTTCTGAAGTTTTTTTGTCCAAAAAGCAAGCCATAGCAAGAATAGGATTTCGGCCAGGTTTTGCCCCAAAAGCACTGAATTGGGAAAAACCATCAAAATCCAGGCCGTTTGACCCCGCCTGCAACAGTGCATTCTGCGGTTCGAACCCCAGTTCAGGCACCCTTTTTGGACCCTTTTTCAAATTTCAAAGTTCGCAGCACTGCACTGTGTACGATGAAATCACGAAAAATCGCCAAATACGGGAGCTCGCCAGAGCCAGGACCCATTTTTTTATGAATGGACTGTAGGCTTTGGCACAGCCGCACACATATACACACACACACACACACACACACACACACACATACACACACACACACGCATGCTCGTGCAACATTCACATGTCACTGCTTCAGTTGTTTTTAGCTGTGTCATATTGTGTCTTATACAGAGCTTCACTTTGGGAAAAGCTGTTGAGATGCTGGAGAGCACTTGTTGCCATGCTTGCGAAATGCCAGCACCATTGCATGCCTTCAGCTGGCACACTTCCTGGCGTAGCAGATTTCCAAAACCTGATGCCTTGTGTAACTGTGTCCTGATAACATGCAGGAATGACTCCATCGCCTCAGTAACACCCGCCTGTCTCATTGTCAGCAGTTCGCAAATTCCATGGATTATTTCACCTTCCATAGGCCTGTACACCATGGTGGCACTGCCACTCTTACATGGATCTGCACATAGGCAAAGCAAGGGTTGAGGGCGGAGGTTTACATATAATGTCAACAATTTACATACTAGGTACACACGTAATTTTCAGGACATGAATAAAATAATATCCTGTCACAGTTTCAACACTGTCACATGTCATAGTGAACACACAATGCACTGTGGGCAGACTCCCATTTTTCGGGTGAGTTTGGGGCGCTTAGTATGCTACAGATTATACATTCGTGTTCACAAGGCCAAGACGAGACCAAAAAATGCAGACGAGAGAATCTCACCAGTAGTCCACAGCTGAACATCTCCGCAACTCAGGTCACCAAGTGGATACGTGGCGTCATCTACATCTTCCACGGTGGACTCATCACTTTGGCAGGCATCTCTGTCAAGCTCCATCATCCTTTACCCCGTCAAGGCACAAACTTAGAATCACCAAATAAACTGCTGACACTCGGACGATTCCTTGGGTATTTTTTTGATTTTTGGGACCAAACAGCGAACGCATGACCTGCGCCGCTTTGACCTCATGGGGATTCTATATTTTTCCCTCAGCACTCGTGCCCGAGCTGAGTCAATCATCCGACGCGGTTGTGCATCTCGTGTGGCCTCCCGGTATTTTACGACTCCCTGGGTTCAACCGAAGACCAATCACACTGTGCACGGACACCATTCTCCTACCTCCGAAGTACGACTGAATGCACCAATTAGGTCCCGGCAGATAATGCTGGAGAATTTGATGGATTCTGCTTTTCAATATACTCGCATTCTGCTCCAAAAAAGCACTGATAATGCTTGAATTCTGAATATACAAGATCCACAGAATTATTATTACTCAGCAGGCAAAGGCGTGGTAGCTGGAAGAAAAAACCCCGAACATGATTGTTATACGTAACTATTATGTTGGCATCAATTATTTGTTCTATTTATCGCATGATTGTACTCGGCTCACACACATGTACATGTACATGTGTGTAATAAGCTGGGCCGCAAGTCACACAATCATCATGCCGCCTGTGTTTGGACCACAAGCATGGCATAGGGGATACACTCATGTATTCAAGTACAATGTACATGAACAGTGCCGCGTCGCTTCACTGTACACAAATGCATGCAATGCACGTACACTGTTTTTTTTGGATGGCTGTATTTTTATTTTTTTCGCCCTCCCTCATTGATTTCATCGAATAAGGTGACGCGAAACATAGAAAAAAACGGCGTGGCCTTAGTTAGTTTTCTCCAAAACGTACGGGATTATGCTAGCGTAATGCTAGTTTCCAGAATGTGCTAAATATGCCAGATATAATGTTAGCAATGTCCGCTGGGGCCTAGCACCAATCCTTCAGCCTAACTACTTGGTGCGGGATCACCCGGGATACTAGCAGCCTGCATGACACACCACCCTTTCCGTCCTTGCCACAAGTCTCTACCGGCATTGACTCGATTGTAAATACAGAACTCGTACATCAAGATGTGTTTACGCCTCCGGGTGATAGTAATTTGATGGCAGCACCAGAGCTGCCTCTAGTGCATGTGTGCGTGTTTTTTCTTGATATTCACCCTATGCTGGTGTCTTTGTTTGAGGTTTATGAAGCTGACGAAAAATTGGTAGCAAAGAAAACGGAGGTTTTTGTTGTTAGGCGGGAGATCGGGAGAGGTTTCAAAAACATCAAAAATCGGGAGATCTTCTGGCTGATCGGGAGATTTGGAACCGCTACCAATGTCGATGGTGTCCTTTTTTGCGACCTCTTTGTACTCCGCTCTTCAGTACCTAATACCTTACAATGTCGGGATTGCATTCACTCCCCCAATAGCTTAGTTCTACCCTGCGTTTTTCATTCACGCTACGGTCTGTTTTATCTTTCTTATTTGGCTGAAGTCAGATAAAATCCGTCTGATATTCGCACTGCCGCATCCCCATTGCTATTTCGACATGCAGTACTTCGTAGAGTACCGATACATATTGTAACGGTATCACGGCCATTCGTACCCAGGGGCGCAGGACACAGGAGACAAGCAATCGGTTGTTTGCATTAACGTATTTGAACGAAGGACATGACGGGAAACCAGGGACAACAACTCCACTGGAAGGAACAAAAAGACTGAAAAAGACAAAACTGAAAACTCAAAAATCACGAATGCTCATATAACGCATCTATGCGAGGCAATAGACAGTTTGGGGAATGTCATCATGCAGAAAAACAACACATCGTTCTACATCACCTGCCCCCTTGATGACATTCTAAAAAATCAGGACACGGAACAAACGAACACCACGCTCCACATGGACAACAGTCACATGTAGCAAAAGGAACCACAGCAAAAGAGAAAACCCACAAACGAACCAGCTGACATTGTATCAAAACAAGCCAAAACTTTATGCTATTTTGTATCATATAAATCAAAGAAGTGATGGTTTTTGATCGCGGAGGGTGGAGGGATGTCTGCACCGGCAAATGCATTTTTAAGCAAGTACGAGTACACGTGTATGTATGGCGGTCTGGGTGTGGCACCATATTTTGGGAGTTGAGGGTACGAAACGTACATACCCAAATAGTAGTACTGAAGGCACACGTACACACGCACACATGTGATCAGATTCTTCTATTGCTCATATTCGGCACAGTGCGCCCCAGTGTGAAAAGCATGCCCCTGCCCATAATTGGAAATAATCTCCCGTAAACTGAAACTTCTGTCGCTGGTATCTTCTTATTTGCTGCTCCTAGATCCTGCCGACTTTGTTGTTTTTCCCTGGTGATGGGAGGGCAATTGGGCAGTCACTCTTTAGTTGCATCCACTGGCAGGTTTGGTTTGCTTCTCCATATTGGCCTTGTGGCTAGGCACATGGCAGTTGCGGTTGGAGGACTGTGAGAATGCCTGTTCACAGCCCAGGATAGTGCACTTGTACGGTTTATCACCTGTATGCGTTCTCTTGTGTCTGGTTAGTGTCGATAGCTGAGAAAAACGTGAGTTGCATCTGTCGCAATGATGTGGCTTCTCCCCGGTGTGTTTTCGGACGTGCACACTTAGAC